CAAATCCTTTAAAAGCACCAAGTAGACCAAGAATTCCTTTGAAGTGATCGTTGGAAAAATAGTTAGTGTAGAAACATTCAAAATTATTATAAAATTAGATAGAACGTCTAATGAACTGAAAAGCAATACTAGTGAAGTTATGCTAAACACTTTGACGAAAATGTTGTTACAGTTTGAGTGAGTGAATGAGTAAAATAAAACTGAGTGTAGTTTACGATAAACAGAATGTTTGATATGATGAACACACTTTTCCAATAACATAATCGTAGATCCCAATCGATTTACATTTAACTGAACGATGATGAATAATCAAGTAAACTGACTCAAATGTTCCGAGTACTAAACACTGAACGACTGAACATGGGTTAAATAATATTAGATGAATGAAGAATACTGGTCGACAGCCTACGCTCCAATGGAAGTAACAAGTATAAGTAAGTAAGTAATATTAAAAAATTCACATTGAAAAATGTTAATTAAATTATTTTTTACATTATAAGCGTCATCATCATTCATGTGTTATCAAACCATAATGTGATGTTCCCTAGATGTAACAAATTGATCATTTTCACCTTATTCAACATATGTTAACTTATTGTTGATATGTTAATGTTGTATATAAATGTATATATTACCAAAAAAGAACAATAAGTAAACACGAGACATTCTTGTAGGAATGAAATAGTTGAATAATTTGGTATGTGTTATATTGAATGTAACTGGGGTTTTTGTTGTTGTTGTTGTAGAATTGTGAGTTATCTATAGCGTGATAAATCAATCAGTTAACATTTATTGTGCAATATGGTTTATTGTGGTTTTATGTATTAGTAATGTAGAGTTCGGTTATAAAGCTATTGATGAATAATTAGAAGTAAACATGAAACAGTCAGTCAGTAACAACGTAGAATTTCTTACGTACGTACATCAGCTCGAGTTGCCACACCACATTAGCACAGAGATGCAGTGGTCGATTCAAATCCCGTAGTGGTAGAGGTAATAAAAGTATAAGCAGTAATCGGAAAGATTAGTGTTTGGAGATGTTATTCAAGAAGTATAATCCAGTGAAATAAACTTGGGAAGAGAAAAAAGAATGGGACATGAAGAATTCAGAAGATTAGAATTTGGGAGAACACAAAGTGTATGCACCTGCGCTATTGCAAACGATTTTGAACCATGTCATTCAGGGTCTCCAATCATCGGTTGCTATCATCTCGCGGTCCCCAACCAGGTAGTCTACACCTAACAACATGACTCAGTCCACTTGTCAGTGACTTCATGGACTTGTGCCATGTTTTGGTCTGGCCGCTCCTAGCTTTCTTCCACCCGAATCCAACACCGTAAAACATAGCACGTCGAGACAGTCGGTCGTTGAGCACACGTAACACATGTCCCAGCTATCACAACTGATGAAGTTTCACCACTTCATCAATTGATTTGCCATCCTTACCTAGTACCCGTTTCCTAACAACTGCATTACTTACTCGATGGTCATAGGATATATGAGCAATATTTCGAAGACACCTATGGTCAAATACTAGTAGTCTACGAATATCCTCTACTCTTACCGGCCATGTTAAACATGAAACTGTGTTATTGCAGTTACTAGTTACTAGCAGGTAGACCTATTTGATGAAGTCCCACTTTTGACTGTTTTCATATACTTATAAAATTCATATCTTAGCATCATTTAGTGTTATAAATTACTATTTTATAGAAGCAGAGAATATTCATAAGAAAATCTGCAAGTACATGGTTACTTTACATAATACTACTCTGTTCAGCTGTTATAACTGTCACAATTCAGATTGCTTACCAGTTTTTATAACGGAACAAAGTTGGATATCATGCTAGGCAATGAACATGAAGATTGTGTGGTATATTAACCATAAATAGTCAACTGATTTTTACAATAAATAAAATAGAATAAATAGAACCAACTCTGGGACTCAAGTACATCGAGCTGACGAGTTCCAAATAGGACGAAACGAGGGTATTGAATTCCAAAATTAAAATATATCATGTATCGTTTACTTGTCTTGTCACTAATCAAATTTGAATTCATTGATCGATAATCTCGTTAATCCTTGGAGAGCGAGACCAAAGGTCCTAGGTTCAGATCCCGCGAGTGATATCGTGTATGAACCCTGCTGAGAAATCCCGTACGTAGACAGAGCGACTGTTCAGTCTTTCCAGATTTTCTATGGTGGTCTAGCTTTAATGAACTTATGAATTCAACCATTAAACCTTGTTCTCATTACTTCTTATCAATGTAATTTCTGTGTTTGAAAAAATGTTTATAATTTCACTTGTTCTTTCTTCTACCTAGAACATAAACCATTCTATACCTTCAGCAGATCAATGCACATTGATTTGCTTTTTGAAGAATATGCAGTGGTTCCCATTTTTTAAAAGTAATTATTAATTTGAATATTTTTTTACGGTAATAGTTTTTTGAGTATTTTTTCAAAACGAATCAATAGTTGTACACAGCATTAACCTCGAGATGATAACAACCGATGGTTAGAGACCTTGAATGACATGGCTCAAAATCTTTTGCAATGGCGTAGGTGCATCCACTCTTTGTGTTCTCCCAAATTCTAATCTTCTGAAATCTCTATGTCCCTTTCTTTTTTCTCTTTGCAAATTTAGTTCACTGGATTATACTCGTTCAATAACATCTTCAAACCCTAATGTTTCCGATTACTTCTCATGCTCTTACTACCTTTACCACTATGGGATTTGAATTGACAATTGTATCTTTGTGATAATGTGGTATGGCAACTCGAAGTAATGTACGTACGTACGTACGAAGTTCTACGTCGTTACTGACTGGCTGACTGAATGACACGGCATTAAAGATTCCTAAATGAAAAACTCTTATCATCTTCGATGGACATGAAGATATGTTGATCAGTTTTATTGACAACAAATGAAATTCCATACATACATATTGCACATAAATGACTTGAGACAAGAAAAAGATTGTTCAGATGTTCATTTAATGTTTATATCCAATTAGGTATTCGATCTCTAATGATATTAATCTACATCTGTTATTGTATTATTGTTATAAATTAGATAGATTTTATTGTAGTTGTAACATGAATTGTGTATAAATCTTGTCAATTGTATCCCATCTTAAACTTATCCTGATCATATTAGTTGGTTATCCGATATAGTACGTTTCTTTTTTTTCACATTGCTTTCTTCATTAGCTTTGTTTTTTTCTTACTGGGCTGGTCCGAGCGACTTCCCAGGAGTTTTTTAAGAGGCGACTTGAGCTATTCTTAAGGTCTAAGGATAGTATCATTCTATGATTTACATACCTAGGTTCCTGCCTGGAGTTATTCGTGATCCCTTGCTAATAGACACGAAAGTCTGTTAAGCGAAAACTTTTTCTATTCGGTCCACAATCATTTGAACCACTACTGTCTATGTGTCTAGTTAACTATTCATTTCTATGCATAAATGTTCTTAACAAGTGTATATGTGGTCATATTGTTTGAAGTGTATTATGTTAATATATAACAACATAGTTCTGATAATCTTTGTCTTCTTATAACACTATCAAGATTTATCAAACAGACTAATCACTTTACATACTTATGAATGTTGTCTGAGATTAAACACTATTTCACTGCTATTGATTGAATTTCCATGGATCTGATTTACTGAATTAAAATATCCATAACATTCAAATTCGATGGGTTATTAATACTTAGATTACTTGACACTTCCGTATCTTAATTATAAAGTGGTTGATTTTCATATTAATCATATCGATTTGATGAAAAATTTAGATCTAAAATATGGTATAGATTTAACTCTATTGATCTCTTCAACGTTCAACAGATCACAACACTCAACTTGAATAATCAAAATATATCAGAATGGGTTTTGTGGAGATTTTTAGAAATTTCACTGGTTGAAATCATGAGTCAATTGAAACTAGACAATCATGGAAGACTTGGAAGTAGTGGACGGCCGTTTCGTCCTAGTATGGGACTCCTCCTCAGAAGTGCGCATCCAAGATCCCGCCCCCCGCGAAATGCGAATCCAAGATCTATCAGTCTCGTGCCAGGCGCTTAACCACTAGACCACTGAGCTGGCATCCAACGGTGTTAGTGTCTAACTTCAACCAATCCACGAAGTTGTGCCACAGTGGGGCATTCAGGTTCTCCATGGTGGTCTAGCTTCAATTGACTCATGATTTCAACCAGTGAAATCAACAATACACTTAAATTGACTAATGTTTTGAAATTGAAAAATTCTTCTATTATAACAATATTCACTTAATACTATTGTGAAACGTTAAACAAGAAAGATTAATCCTGTTGTAAAACTTTTAAAATAACGTAAAAATATTGCACAAGCGATTGGCCATTAGGAATCAGTAGCTAAGTGGATAGTACATTGGTGTTTGAAACGAATGGTACTGGGTTCGAGCCACAGAGTGAACATCAACTCAGATGCAGGTACATCCAGCTGTCGATTCACAAATAGAAAGGAACGCGCGTTGTAGATCCCACTGCTAGTTACTATCCATATTTGCTTATAATGCTTGTGAATTAAGGCAATATCGAGGCAATCCGCATAATATACACATATGTCAATAAGAGATTGATCAATTACAATCCTAAATATCCGTGGGAAGATACAAGTAAACAACAACACCAAGTGAATTTAAACTTTACCATATTGCACAAGTAAACGGCTATCAGAACTCAGTTGCAAAGTGGATAACGCAATAGCGTTTGAAACAAATCTAACTGGGTTCGAGTCCTACAGTGAACATCAACTCTGAGATACATGTACATTTATCTGACAAATCGCAAATGGAATAAACCACGCGTCAAACTGAATTCCTCTTCTAGCCACCATCCATCTTTGCTTATGATGTTTGCAAATTAACGCAATATCGAGTCAATTCTCACAGTATGCATATATGCCAAGAAGAGACTGATCAATTACACTCCTCAATATCAATAGGAAGATTCAAATAATACAACAATACCAAATAAATTTAATATTGATATTATTTTAACTAATCTGTTGTTATGGTGATTAGTATGAAGAAGTTTTTCAAAAGAAAACAATTTTTAAGAAAAAAACAATTGACAAATAACAAAATTGAATGATGATCAATATTTCCAAAATGTAGAAATCAGAACTGTTCATGTATAAATTTGACATAACAATTCAATCCTTTATTAACAATGTCATTTAGATCAATGTTATTCTATTGTAGTTTTGTAATTTATAACGTTGTTGTCCTTTTGTGTTTGTGTTTGTGTGTGTGTGTGTGTATGTGTTGTTAATGTTAAGTTTACACAGATGAATTTCCCTTGCCAACTGTTTTACGAAATAATAAAATTGATATAATTATATATATCCCTTTTAAAATTGCAAAAATAAAGCATAGATACATTAACATTATAATATATTGTTGCATGTATCGACTGATTGCTCTAACACAACCCTATCAAGATAATCAAAAAAAATAAGAAAGAAAAACCGGATAAAATAAATGGAAAATTATCAGTTTAGAGGATTGTTAAGTTAGACATTAACACCATTGAATACTGGCTCAGTGGTCTAATAGGTTAAGCGTTCACGCGCGATACTGAGGGCCCTGGGTTTGAATCCTGCGAGTGGGGATCGTGAATGCGCACTGATGAGGAGTCCCACAATAGGACGAAACGGCCGTCCAGTGCTTCCAGGTTTTTAATGGTGGTCTAACATCAATCGGTTCATGATCTCAACCAGAATTGGAAAATTATCGATTACATAAAATAAATCAATAAAGGATTAAACAGTTTATGGAGATATCGATGATAAATTAATTCATTCATTAAAGATATTTAATTGTTTTTGATGGAGTTTTGTTCTGTGAGCTAGATGGAGTTTTCGTCGCTCTTCTCTTGAATGACAACATTGTCAGTATAAAGTTAAGGTAGAAGTGAAGTGTTTGAATTTCTTTACATGTGGTTCATAGTCTCTTCTGTAGACCTCTATGTTGATTGACTTTTGTTGACTTTTAAACCTGTCATTGTTTACTTCTTTGATATTACTCCATGACTAAACCATCCAGCTCAAAGAAAAAAACTCTATCAAAATCATCCTTCTGAGTTATAAATCTTCTCAAATATCTGAATATATCTAATTGAGTTAATGCTTTACAATTAACCATCATCCAGAAGGCATAAGTGTTTATTAACAGTTGTCTACGCAAAATAATTCGGATCTGTTAGCCAGACACTATCAACAACAACCTACTGTGGGAGAGAACAAACCACATTCCCGCAGAATAAGAAATCAGGAAGAAGTTCTGGAAGTGAATAGAACACACATTGAAGAAAGCACCGAACTGCATCACATGACAAGCTCTCACATGAAATCCTGAATGCCAAAGGAAACGAGGAATACCAAAGAACACAGTACTCCGAGAAATGGATATAGACATAAGAAGAATGAACAACAATTGAATAGAACTAGAAAGGAAGGTCGAGGAGAGAGTGAGTTGGAGTATGGTGGTCGGTGGCCTATTCTGCATTGCGAGTAACAGGCGTAAGTAAGTAAATAAATTCATGGGTTATAAGTTCTGATGTGTTCTCTCATCACCCAGTTTTTTAGGCGTTATTTTAATATAAAAAGTAGCGTTATGTAGAATATGATATCATAGACACAGTAGACAATGAGCTGTGGCAACTTGAAGTGATGCATATATGTGCCTGGTCCTATATTGTAACTAACTAAGACAAATTAAAAATTATTTTCATAGGTAATTTATTACAAACATGAGTAATATATTTCATCCAAATAACTTTGTACTTTAGACATTTATTAAAATAATCACTGGCGATGAAGTTAAATACATAAATTCAGTAAAATTGATTATCAAAATAGTGTGATTATAAAATATATCAGATGGGTTTTGTGGAGATTGTAGTAATTTCAATGGTTAAGATCATGATTCAGTTGAAGCTAGACCACCATGGAAAACCTAGAAGCACTGGATGGCCGTTTCGTCCTAGTATGGGACTCCTCAACAGTGCGCATCCACGACCTCGCCCCCCACCGCGAGATTCGAACCCAGGATCTACTGGTTTGGCGCTCGAGCATTTAACCACTAGACCACTGAACCGGCATCCAACGGTGTTAATCTCGAAATTCAATTAATCCAGTGCTTCCAGGTTTTCCATGGTGGTCTGGCTTCAATTCACTGATGATTTTAACCATATAAAATATATATTAAAGTAGTAACCGAATTCAGGACAGTTTTGAATAGATATATAAGATGATAAAAAGGAGTACAAGATCAATAATGACCAATTTTACAATGAATAAACAATAAATATGAACTTACAAATCCATATGATGTAGGTTTACAAGAAGATGGTACTGTAGAATGTATTTTTAAATAATCACGAAAATAGGAAGCACCACAACATCCAAGCTATAACAACAATATCTATATAAACTATTTCCATAGAACTTACACTCATTTGTAAATTATTAAATTCATTTTTAATATCATAATCCATATGATAATGTACTATAGATTCATGTAATGAAGAATTTACTTTCATAAAAAACTAAAAATAAAAAGGAATATAAATGATATATAAGCATATTAACATTGTATCATTGAATCAAAAAACTAACCTGATCTTTAGAAATAGCTGACATTGTTGCTGTGCTAAATTCGATAATTGCACTAATCATTAAACCACCAATATGCTAAATATAAATACATATTTATATATATACATATATCAATAATGAATATATTATATATGACTTACAATTAATGCAATATATTGTATTTGTTTTATTAAACTAATTATACCAATGAATGCAGTAAATAAACATAATAATCCACTGGAAATAATCATTGGAATTATAATTGGTATAGTATTATGTAATATAATGGTAAATCTGTTTAAATAATTCAATTTATCTATACCTAATGAAATAAGCACAATACTGTATACCTAAAAACAAAAATGGATAAATAATAAAAAAAGAGATTACATTATGTAACTTACAATAAATATAACATTTGATAAGATAATTATATTTTTCCAATATTTTTCTGCTATTGATAAGATCATGATCCTCCCCCTTTTTTTGTCCTTTGTTTTGTTGTTGTTGTTGTTTGGTTCGATATTGATAATTGAAATTAGTTGCTATGAGATATAATAAACTATGAACAGTTTATATATTATACATCATATTGAATTAATATAAGTAATATTATTCCTTAAAATGTATGTTCAATGATACATAGATATAATGCACACTATGTAAATTCTTTTAACTTATTCTTTGTCTAATTATAGTAAAAAATTTATTTAGTAATTTGTCGCATAGTAACAAACAGGTACGTAATTAAATGACTTAGTAACATAGAGTTTTTTTTAAAAAAATATTCATAATCATTTAACGACATTATTATTATTATTATTATTATTATTATTATTATTATTATTATTATTACGTAAATTGTATTGTATGTATGTTTGTATTTCACTATGATAATTCATTTTGTGTATAGTATTATGTATAACTGTCAATTAAATGGTTGACTTACATCATAATCACCCAGTAACTAAATTTTAATAATTTTGATTTTTTTTTGTTTTAAAATGTTAATCATATGCTTTTTTAATTTACCTTATTCATATGTCGAATTATTCATTTATGAATAAATGAAAATATTTATAAAGTACATATTACTGACTAACTTACTTACTTATTTACGCCTGTTACTCCCAATGGAGAAAAGGAACGACAACAAGCATTCTCCAATCCACTCTGTACTGCGCTATCTAATTGTTGTTCATTCCTCTCATAGCTGTCTCCATTTCTCGGCATAATGTGTTCTTCGAACGTTCTCTCCTCCTTTAGCCTTCAAGGTTCCAAGTGAGGGCTTGCCGTGTGATGCAGTTCGGTGCTTTCTTTAATGTGTGTTCTATTCACTTCCAGCGCTTCTTCCTGATTTCTTCCTCTAATGCAATCTGGTTTGTTTTCTCCCACAGTAGGTTGTTGTTGATAGTGTCTGTCCAACGATTCCGAATTATTTTGAGTAGACAACTGTTAATAAACATTGGATGATGCCTTTCGTAGTTCTTTAGCTTTCTGCTCCATACAGTAGAACTGTGTTGACATTTTTAAAATTCCAGCGAATGAATTTTAAGTAAATCCAACATTTCGCCTGACAATCTGGTCCAAGCTTTTTCAAAGAATAATACAAATGTGTTGACATTTGTATTGAAAATTCTGACATCGGTGTTGGCTTACAGACAGTTGTTTTCAGTTCCAAATGTTCTTGTTTTACTGATCCGCTCCTTTACATTTGCATCACATCCACCATGCTCATCAATGATGCTGCCCAGATATGTAAAGGTTTTTACATCCTTCAAAACTTCTCCGTCAAGCATGATGCGACTGGTGCATGCTGTGTTGTATGTAATGAAAACTTAGATATTACGGTTGTGTTTTTCGAATCACTTAGATCCCTAGACAACGATTAGTACGAGTATATTTAAAAGCGTAGTCTTATTGTTTATCAAACACCATAAACAAGTGATTAATAAACTATGCTAATAATGTCAGAAAGCATTTCATTCAAATTTAAACTAGAATTTATAACAACCATTAAGAATACTAATGAGAGCGTAAACAGTCTGATTTATTCTCGAAGAAATATGTTAATATTTACTTTACTATAGAATACGTTAAATCCCAGTATTTCAAAATGTTCTAATCAAAAGTTCTGCAGTGATACGTAATTCCCTGAAATAGTTAACTTTGTAAGCATTCGACATTGATCTTCAGAATATTAGTTTTACTAAATACACCACTAGTTGACGATATTCGGTCAAATAACTGTACCAAATTACATTCTGTGTTATCTCACGAGACAACGGAATCAATTTTCCTACTAACCATCATAGCTCTCTACTCACATAGATTTTGGGATCATTTTAATAATAAAAATATGAACACTATTGTTGCCGAATTCTTTCATTTTTTCAAAACACCTTCAATTGTTTTGAATATCATGTTAAAGTTTTTGACCTAAATCGTCTTATCAGTTTGTTACAGAGTCTATCATAAAGTGGTGGTCATCAGTACTTATTGACACATCACAACCCTTCCTCAATGATAAACTGAAGACTAGAGGATATCCTAAACGCATATCGCATAAAACTACAACAATACACTAGTGTTATTGAATACATCTTACATCCCTATCAATATGTCACATTTGTTTGAGTGAGTTATCTAATGAACTGAGGTATCCACTAGATACTTTAGAATAAATGAATTTCCGTTAACAAAATTTATCCTATTTATTGGCTGTATGATTTATATGGGTTTGTACTTTTACCTTTCAAAAAGAGAATTATCTCACAAATGATTATTCACTTTAACGTCATCGAATTGCTTAGTTAATGAAAGATGATTTTACAATCATTTTAAGCAGGATTGGTTGATAATAACTCAAACGTTGGGACAGTCGATTGAGGATTAACATTGGAATTTTTCTGTATCACATTTTATCATTTGAAAGTATCAGTAAATTAATTAGACATAACTTTCAATTATTAAGATGAAAGAGAAATAACTAATTTTGAACATGGTTAGATTGGAAGGTAATAACTAATTGATATTTATAATGTACATTTATATCATGTTCATCTCATTTATGTTTAATAGTTGAACAATATGTACATGAGTCCCAGTCCAAAATTCTATAAGTTAAGAGTATGTGTGCAAAATCAAAGATCTTGGATTATTTTCCCATATACAGGCTCGTATGTACCCTATTCTGAGGTGTTACATAGTCAGACAAAACGTCTATTCAGTACTTCCACATTTTTAATGAATGCCTAACTTTCATTAGTTGATGATTTCAATGATATTATGAAATTTGACAGTTCAGAATCAAATGAAGGATTTGAACTTCGGAGATGACCTACCACTTTTATCTCATACACGCGAAAAAATGAAGATGAAGACAACTAGTGTAGCAGTAGCCTCTGCATTAGTAGGCCTCAACATACACAATGGAAAAAGCAAGATCCTCAAATACAACAAGGAGAACACCAACCTAATCACTCTTGATGGCGAAACTCTGGAACATGTGCAATCCTTCACGTAAGTGAGAAGCATCATTGATGAAAAATGAGAATCACATGTAGACGTAAAGGCGAGGATTAGCGAAGCAACAGCCGCATTCCTACAATTGAAGAACATATGGAACTCGAAACGACTGTCTGTCAACTAATATCAAACTCACAATCCTCAATACGAACATCAAGACAGTTCTACTATTCGGAGCTGAAATATGGAGAACGACTACAACCATCATCAAGAAAGTAGAAGTATTTATAAATAGTTGTCTACACAAAATACTCAACATCCATTGCCTGGATACCATCAGCAAGACTATTCTGTGAGAGAGGACGAACCAACTTCCATCTGAATGGGAAATGAGGAAAAGACGTTGGAATTGGATAAGACACAAATTGAGGAAATCATCAAACTACATCACGAGACAAGCGATAGCTTGGAAACAGAAAAGAGGAAGGCCAAAGAACACATTACGTCGGGAAATAGAAGCAGATATGAAAAGGATGAGTAGTAACTGGGAAGAGCTGGAAAGGATTGCCCAGGATAGGGTTGGATGGAGAATTCTGACGAGCAGCCTGTACTCCTTCACGAGGAGTAACAGGCGTAACTAATTAAGCATTATATTTAAGTATATAAAGTAATCTGACATATTAAACTTTCTAAACACTTAATCAAAAGAAAATTTTTATTTTTTGTTTAGAAATAAATTAAAACAAAAAAAGTAACAATCAAGAAGTCATATATATAATTTATATTACTGTTATGAGTAGTATAAGTGACTTGGCAACAACAATTAACAGTCAGTTAACACATAGGAATAAAGATGTAAGTTAACATTTAAGAACAACAATGAAATGACATGAAATAGCATCTTGGTCAATTTTATTATGTTCCCCCCCTTTTTGTTTATAAAAAAAATCAATAATATGAAGTACATATCTAACTGATTCAATTACATTCATCAATATTGTTATTTATTATTTATATAGATAAATTATTCTTATTAGATTTACGATAAACAAGAATTGAAATAGCCAAATAGATTGTTTTAATAATAGCGAATGCAATACATATATATATTATTAATGTAATAGATTGTTCTATATATTCATATAATGCTTCAGCACAACCCTATAAAAGTTATAAACAAAAGAAACATTAAGTAAGTTATTTATAATAAATAGGAATACAATTGAAATGGATCATTTAACAAAGTTTTAAGATTGAATGATAACAAACTACTGAATATAATATTACTTATTTACTTACGCCTGTTACTCCTCGTAGAGGAGTAGAGGTCGTTAAACATCACTAGCTATCCAACCTTGTCCTGAGCGATCTTTTCCAGCTATTTCCAGTTGTTATTCATTCTTTCCATATCTGCTTCTATTTCCCCACGTAATGTGTTCTTCGGCTTTCTTCTTTTTCGTTTCCCTTCAGGATTCCAAGTTAGCACTTATCTCGTGATGTAGTTGTAACATATGAAATTCATAGCATAAAAATAACTATAGAAATGTGATCTAGTGGTTTACTGTTCAAAGTGTCTAACTGTCAACTAGTAGGTTACAGGTTCAAATGGAACTAAATTGACTTCAGTTCAGTCAGAAGATTAGTTTTATAAGCTTTAAGAAACTTAGATCCCATTTAAGTTTTTTGATCAAACTGTATATTTCCACAGTAACTGATTTTGTATTCCATTGAATTGTACATATTATATGTAAGTATTGAAATGATAGTTTAGAGTAAGATTCTTTGATTGCTTTATTTTGTTTGGGCATCTTGATTGTCATTCTAAACAAAATGATTGGTGTTTGCTTCATATAGTATTAACTTTACAGTAATTAGATCATCCGTAATTCTGATAAATTTTGTGTTCTCATTGCATTATCGAAATAAACAGTAATAAATGTAATAAAGTTCTAATGAAAAGTAGTGACCAATGAAGTTCAACGAGGTCTGTTGTGAGATAGTAACTCACTGAAGACAATGGTGGATGTGTCACTCAATTTCGTGGATTAGTTGAAGTTACACATTAACACTGTTGGATGCCGGTTCAGTGGTTTAGTGGTTAGGTGTTAGCGCACGAGACTGATATGTCCTGAGTTCGAATCCCACGAGGGGGGATTGTGGGTGCGCACTACCGAGGAATCCCACAATAGGACGAAACGGCCATCTAGTGCTTCCAGGTTTTCCATGGTGATTTAGCTTCAAATGACTCATGATTTTAACCAGTGAAATTTCTATAACTTCCACAAAATTCCTTCTGATAATTTAACTATGGTAGATAATTTTGATAAAGTTTTATTCTTCAAGTTGAATAGTTTAGTTATGGAGCTTTCATTGTTCTTCTTTTGAACGATATTATCGGTACAAAAATAAGGTAGAACTGAAGTGTTTGAATTTCTTCATACATATGGTTCCCAGGTTGTCTTGTACATTTTAATATTGATTGATTCTGATAGATCATAAACTTATCATTGTTTAATTCTTTGTTTTGATTGTATCTTTCATTGATTTTATTTTTATTTTTATATTTGTGCATCATTTTCTTGATGTCATACAGAAGAAGAATAATGAAAAGCTCCACGACAAAACTATTCAACTCAGATAATAAAACTCCAAAAATTTTATAAGTTACAATGTATATTTCGTTATTAGGAAAAATCTTAATCATTCTGTTATTGATATTATGAGTTGAATTTTGATCAGTCTTAGGTGGTGCTATTTGATTACAATAGACCTATCGTTGAATATGTTATAGTTTATAGTCAGCAATGAGTTTTGTTTCATTTAAGGCTCATCTGCTATCTTCACCTACTAACAATACTGAATCCATATATGCTGAGAAAAACTGGTTAAAATCATGAGTCAGTTGAAGCTAGACCACCATGGAAAACCTGGAAGTACTGGACGGCCGTTTCGTCCTAGCATGGGACTCCTCCTCAGCAGTGCTCATCCACGATCTCGCACCCCGCAAGATTCGAACCCAGAACCTATCAGTCTCGCACTAGGCGCTTAACCAACTAGACTACTGAGCCAGCATTTAACGGTGTTAATGTCTAACTTCAACCAATCCATGAAGTTGTGCCACCGTAGTTAAATTAATAAAAATTAAATTAAAATTTTAGTTCAATACTAACTTACTTTTATATAAAGTACATTTCCTTTTTCACAAGTAAATGGTAAATAATTTACAAGTTTAGCATAATCTTTTGATGATCTAACACCGCAACATTCAAACTAAAAATAATAAATAAAAAAACATACAAAATCTAATTCATTAGAATAATGAAAATTCCCATTTTGTCATTTAGTAAATAAAAAAAAAGGAACGAATTGAGCACAATTCGTTCCTTCATTAAAATAACTTACATCTTTTTGTAAATTATCAAATTGATTTTCATAAATTGGATGTTTTTGATAATATTGTAATGAATTCCATAATGATTGATTTGCTGGTTTAAAATACTAAAAAAGAAAAAAAATAATTTATGTTAGACACAATTTGTCAAATGTAAATCAACATCAACATCATCCAAAACATCATCATCATCATCAGCATCATCATCCAAAGCATCATCATCATCATTCAAAGCATCATCATCATCGTCATCCAAAGCATCATCATCATCATAATTAGCATGGTAACTAACTTGATTATTTGATACACTTGAACTAATTGTTATAGAAATTTCAATAATTGTTGCAATAATCAATCCAATAATATGCTAATCATTATATCAAAGAAAATATAAATAGTTACCATGGAGATAAAGATATTTTTCTTTTTCCATATCCCAATAAATCCAATGAATATACTTAATAAACCAAGAAATCCACTACAAATAATCACTGGATATATAATTGGTTTAAAAAAATCTAAAATAATATTATAATTTGATAAGATATTTAATATTCTGAATGGTAATATTAATAAAGCTAAATCAAATATCTTCATTATTATTTCATTATATAATTGAATATATTACTTACAATAAGTAGTATATTGAATAATATAAATATTGTATTCCAATACTTTTGTATTTGTGATAATATCATATTTATTCAATAATTTAATAAAGGTATAGTTAGTAACTAATCTCTTATTATCTCTTATATTATTTGTATTATGATTTATACAGTTTGATTAAAAATATTTTTGTTACCAGTTATATGAATGACTGCGTCTTTTGTTTTTGATTGTTTGTTTATCCATACAAAAAAAAAGGAATGGTAATTCATGCACATTAAAATGTAACATTGTAAGTTGTAAAATTACTGAAGAAAAAAAACACACAAAAAAAGATTTTTTTGTTTGTTGTTGTTGTTACTACATAGTAACATATATGAAACAGTATGGTTTTGGTGGATCTTCTCCACCATCGCGAAACAGTATGGTGTTACTATGCATGTTTTTCACATATTAGTCAGATAAAACTTTTATTATTATTTTTTTTAATTTTTGATTTTTTACTTAGATTCTATGCATAGTTTTGTTTTAAATGATACCTGTTATTATTAAGAGTAAATTGGTATTTTGGTTTTTATCATGTGAATCATTAAAGCAATCCAGATACTTAATATTTTCATAAATTGGTATTTGTAGTCAGAAATTATTTAGTAATTTGATAATTGATTTCAAACCATTTAATTTTGATGTGATTAATTCATGAATGGTTAACTGGGGAGAAATATATGAGAGAGAGTTTTATAACTTGTATGCCCTGGCTATTGTATAAGATAACGATACCGCTAATTACAGAAGAGCGAATTATCGATCGGATCTATGACGCCTAAAACTCGTATGAACAGTCTAGTGTCTCTATCGGTCCTTCTTCTAAACTAGCCCAACCTGTTAATTCCGGAACATCAATCTCAGCCTCTGCAATATGAATCATTTATTTCAAACATACTGGGTTTATATACAAACCAAACAGACCATATCACACCACAAAATAGGAAACAACATTTGTACAAGATGACGCCAAAAAGTGGCTGTGAATGTGGAAGACTATAATTACTAGACTGGATATAACTGAAGAACGGCAAATTGTATAATAATGGTCTATTGGTCAAAATAAAGCTCATAATAAGAGGGACAAGAATATGCGTAGTTTAGCTTACTTACTTACTTACTTACTTACTTACGCCTGTTACTTCCAATGGAGCATAGGCCGCCGACCAGCATTCTCCAATCCACGCTGTCCTGGGCCTTCTTTTCTAATTCCATCCAATTCTTGTTCATTTTTCTCATGTCTATTTCCGTTTCTCGACGTATTGTGTTCATTGGTCTTCTTCTTTTCCTTTAATCTCGAGGATCTCATGTGAGGGCTTGTCTTGTGACGCAGTTGGGTGATTTCCTCAATGTGTGTCCTATCCACTTCCAGCCCTTCTTCCTCCACTGGGATCTGGTTTGTTATTTCCCACAGTTGGTTGTTGCTGATGATGTCTGTCCAACGGATCCGAAATATTCTGCGTAGACAACTGTTAATAAACACCTGTATTTTCTGGATGATGGCTTTCGTAGTTCTTCAGGTTTCTGCCCCATACAATAGAACTGTTTTGACGATTGTATTGAAGATCCTGACCTTGGTGTTGGTTGACAGTTGTTTTGAGTTCCAGATGTTCCTCAGTTGTAAATATGCTGTTCTTGCTTTACCAATCCGCGCCATCACACCTGCATCAGACCCACCATGTTCATCAATGATGTTGTCCATATATGTAAACGTTTCTACATCCTCCATATCTTCTCCTTCAATTGTGATTGGATTGGTGCATGCTGTGTTGTATCGAAGAATCTTGCTTTTTCCTTTGTGTATATTGAGACCTACTGCTGTTGAGACTGCTGCTACACTGGTCGTCTTCTCCTGCATTTGTTGTCGCGATTGCGATAGAAGGGCCAGATCACCTGCGAAGTCTAGGTCGTCTAGTTGCATCCTAGATATCCACTGTATCCCGCGTTTCCCTCCAGATGTTGATGTCTTCATGATCCAGTCGATCACCAGGAGAAAGAGAAAGGGTGAGAGTAAGCGACCTTGTATGACACCGGTCCTCACTTCGAACGAGTCTGTCAATTGTCCTCCAAGCACAATTTTGCAGTTTAATCTATCTTAGGAATTCCGTATGATATTAACTATCTTCTGAGGTACGCCGTAGTATCGAAGAAGCTTCCATAGTGTTGTCCTGTCCACGCTGTCAAATGCCTTTTCGTAGTCAATAAAGTTGATTGTTCCGCAATTATCCGTAGAGTTGCGATTCGGTCTGTACACGATCTATCCTTACGGAATTCTGCCTGTTGTTTGGGAGTCGGGCGTCTATGCAGTCCTTCATTCTGTTTAACAATACTCTGTTGAAGACTTTTCCCTGTAGTTATCACAGTTGATGAGATCGCCTTTCTTTGGTATTTTGACCAGGAGTCCTTCTTTCCAGTCTGTTGGTACTTGTTCCTCATCCCAAATCTTATTGAAGAGGATGTGGCGTATCCTTGCAGTTGCTGCTACGTCTGCTTTTAGTGCATCTGCTGCAATGTTGTCTGGTCCTGCTGCTTTTCCACTCTTGATTTGTTTGATAGCCATGCTGATTTCTTCAATTGTTGGTGGGCCAACATCGATTGGGAGGTCCGCGGGTGGGTTCAGTGAAGCTGGTCGATTCAAGAGTTCTTTGAAGTGTTCTACCCACCTGTTTCGTTGTTCTTCAATGTTGGTGATTACCTTTTCTTCCTTGCTTTTTACTGGTCACTCCGGTTGACGGTGATTTCCAGAGAGTTTCTTTGTCGTATCGTACAGTTCTCTCATGTCTCCTTCTCATGCAGCCTTTTCCGCAGTCGTTGCTAAATCTTCTACATAGTTACGTTTGTCAGTTCTGGTGCTCCTCTTCACTTGTTTGTTTACTTCTGTGTATTCAGCTTGTGCTTTGGCTTTTTCTGCTCTTGTTCGACTGGTATTGATTGCTGCCTTCTTGTTCCTTCTTTCTTGAATCTTACCCAGTGTATCAACAGTGATCCATTCCTTGTGATGGTGCTTCTTGTGGCCCAGAACCTCATGACATGTTGAAGTGATCGCTTTTTTGATCCCCTTCCAGTTGCTCTCCACAGTAGTTTCTTCTCCACTGAGTAGATCATGAATGGCCTGGAATTTATTGCTGAGGACTATGTAGAATTTGTTGAGTTTGTGAGTATCCTGAAGAAAGGCCGTATTGAACTTTTGTGATGTTGTCCGCCCCATTGTCCAGTGCTTCTCGAGTTTCAATTTCATATTGGCGACCAGCAAGTGATGGTCTGATGCTATATCAGCTTCTCTCTTGGTTCTCACATCCTCTATAGTCCTCCTGAACTGTTTGTTGATGCAGATATGGTTGATTTGGATTTGTGTAGTGTGATACGGTGAATTCCATGTCATTTTGTGAATGCGCTTATGCGGGAATATGGTGCCACCTATGACCAGTTTATTGAAGGCACATAGGTTTTCAAATCTCTCGTCATTTTCGTTCCTTTCTTCCAGTCCATGTCGTCCCATGATGTCTTCATATCCAGTGTTATCCGTTCCAACCTTGGCATTTAAATCTCCCATCAGAATGGTCAGGTGCTTTGTTGGGCACTTCTCGATGATTGACTGCAGCCTATTGTAGAATTGATCTTTAGCGTCTTCGTTGTAGTCGTTGGTAGGCGCATAGCATTGGATGATGTTCATTGAAATGCTCTTTTTCTTTGTTTTGAAGGAGGCTTTGATGATCCTTTGTCCATGAGATTCCCATCCTATAAGTGCATTTCGTGCTTGTTTGGACAGCATCAATGCGACTCCTTGTGTATGTGGGGCATTTTCTTCTTCATGGCCGGTTAGCTTCGTGATCATAACATATGTGTTAAAAGATTTCAATAGACTGGAGTTTGAGATGCTGTAGACGATTCGTAGCTCAGGTGGATGATTTTGATGGAGTTTTGTTCTTTGAGCTGGATGGTATGATCGTGGAGTTTTCATCGTTCTTCTGAACGACATCATCAGCACAAACTCCATGAAAAGATTGGAGTTTATTTATTGTAATCTACCTTCTGATGAAATGATTAACATGAATAAAACTTTATCTTGTTTGAGAACTGCGAGATTGTTGATCGTTATCAATTGATTATGATTTCAATCAGTCCTGATATTCTAAATTGATTTGAAGAAAAGGATCCAATTGAACATAGATACTTTTGAGTATCAATTTATAAGTGAGAAAATGATAGCATGAGAGTCAGTGATTTAGCAACAAATAGTCTGTTTTCCTTAGTGTTTAATACATTTAGACTAACTGTAATAATAATGTTATTTTGAGAAAAACATGAAGTACTGTCGGTGTAAAACATTTACCAATAAAAGTAAAGATGCCACAGGTAGAGTTTGACAACGCTTTAACCGGTAACACCTAATATGAAGCGTACCCACCAAGTGAAATCAAAAAGCAGAAGCGAGGAAGTTTGAAGATTTATTTGATGGACTATCAATATATCGAGAATCATCTGATCTAACCTGGCTATCGATTGCAGTAGATGTTGAGCACGACGTTCCCATTCGTGATCTAGTGAGGATGCATGATCGAGAGTCTTCAGCTAGGTGAGTCCATTAAAACATGTAGTCAGCATCCAATGTCGTAAACTTATAGAGCTATTTATTTTGGAGATTTATTTACCGCTACAAAAGTAATCTCATGAACTATTTACATATGCTGCATTAAACAATGTTTTTAATGACATCAAAAATGTCACAATCGGGTCATTATCCAGAAGTCAATTAAAAGCTTAATCTTGGAACATCTACTGAAGTCCGGTCACTTCGCCTCACCAGAAACCCCCTTCATTATTGTACATGATTAAAAGTGTTGGCTCAACAGGAATGCAAGTGAAGAATTAATATACAACATAGGCTATTTCTATCGACTAGTTCAAGTCAAACCCTTGCGTATAAAAACAGTCTGTTCAGTCCCTCATTCTTTCATGACTTTAACCTCTCTTTCTGTCTTCCAAAATCTATCGTTTTTACTTACTTTATCATTCTTATTCCTTTCCATTTATTTTCACGACTGTCAATTAGCGATCGTTACCACAACTATTTTCACCTTACTACTTTTCATCAACCAAGTATTACATAACTTTCTTTTGAATATCTGATTTTCAACTGTTGACAATATAAGTTTTTTGTGATTAATTAACACTTTTCGATCTTACTATAGAACACTATTTGAACAAATAAAATTGATTATCGATACAATTGTACAGCTTAGATAAATAAAATCGCCGAAACATTGGACCCGGATTACGTGTTATTTATCACTCATCAGCAAGGTGTACTTGTACTCTTGAGGGATCTGATGCTCACTGACGGATTCAATCCCATGTCACATAGCTTTACAGTCAAAGATGTTACCACTGAGCTATCTAGGCCAAATAGAACGAAATTCTGGTCCATGGTTTCCTGTTGACTACCTTCAACCACCATGTTAATCATGATCCCTCTTATCAAATTTGATGTTTAAGGTTAGTATATAAAAGGACAATTAACTTTCTTCTTTTTTTTTATATCTATACTAGAATTGTTTTTCGGGTAGAAAAAGTGATTCAACAATCGACTAAGGAATATCATTAACAAAGACTGAACATTATATGGAAACATTGAAAGTAGTAACCATAATATTCTACTATCAAAGTGTTACTCTTTGAAAGAAAAAGTATCCATTGAATATCAAACTTTCATCAATAAAATACACCGAATTCCTTTATGAAGCCTTTTATATCTTCAATGATAATTACATATATATAACTAATTCGATTCACTCCGTTTCTCTGATAAATATAAATCGCTTTTATTTTGAAACAGAGGGACTTAAGTCATGAAAATAGTTCAATTTAAATTATTATTTAAACTACATAGTCACAAAATCATGACTACTATCAATGATGTAATGATATGATGTAATAATAATGATGTAATGGTATGTAATGACTTGAAGTCGATTGGAAAGCTTCTGTACCAATTAACATATCAGGAATCCTCATTCGGTAAGTTTTGCTACTCAATTAATAATTCTGTTCATTTTGACACACTTCAAATCTTTTTTCCATAGTAACAAAGGAATTAAACTTTTCATTGCTCATTCATTAATACATCCGATCTTCTGGGATTCGAACCTAGTATCGTTCGCTTCAAACGCCATCACGTTATCCATTTAGCTACTGAGCCCTGATAACCACCTGCTTGTGAGTTGTGGTGAAGTTTAAATTCACTTGGTATTGTTCACTTGTATCTTCTCATTGTTATTGCAGGTACATATGTAGTGAACGTGAACAACTGTGAGGACAATTGAATGCATTTGAATAGAAGTCTACACAATGTCTCAGTAAAATCTGAGAACCATACATTAAATACTTCATTCACAAAATGTCAATCAATCTTCTCAGACTTCACTGTACCTTCATTTCCAAAGCAATCCTTCTCCGTTCTAGTTTTCTTTTCTCCGATCTTCTAAACTTTCTACTTCCAAACATTTCATTTTTGATTGTTGATACATACTACTTATATCTGTCGACATCAGTATCACAAACCACACATCCATCTAACGAGACTAAAATAGTACGAAACGCGTGTCCTGAATTCCAGTGTTAACTATCTCCACCATCTCCGCCATCTCAAGTGTTAACTATCATCCGTATTTGATAATTCACCTAGACTTGTGTAAATGTTTTGAAAATCTCCCACACCGTATAATCGAAATCGACCTAATTCATTAACTAGTTAGAAAACGTTTGGACAGAACTGAAGCATATACCTGTCTCTACCTGATATGGATTAGCTCCACTGATCACGGCTTATTATTAGTACTCAGAGAATTTCCTCATGGAGCTATTCACTAGTGAACACATGATAATTATCAGTATGGGGTTCAAATCCGGCGAGTGGGATCGTTGATGTGTACAGCTGAGGAGTCCCACAATATGATGAAATGACCGTCCAGTGATTCTAGGTTTTCAATAGTGGTCCAACATCAGTTGATTCATGATCTCAATCAAAAATTAAAGTCTAATTTTGAGGAATTATTGAAAGATGTTTTAATTATAAATTCAGAAATAGTAATTACATATAATGGTATAATTTTTCTAAAAACGTTATGTATTTAATAAAAGTATCATTCAACCTTGAAGAACAGAGAACACATTACGCCGAGAAATAGAGAAAGATATGCGAAGAATGAACAACAATTTAATAGCAATAGACAGGAAAACCAAGGACAGAATGGATTGGAGAATGTTAGTCAGTGGACTATGCTTCATCGGGTGGTAACAAGTGTAAGTATTTAAGACACATGATTTCCCTCATCAATCTAAATGTAAAGAGATTTTGAAAGCCATTTTCTCTTTTAAATCTCTCCTTTCTACTGTCTTGTTTTCAATGACAGATAACTCTGAAATTACTCTCGTCATGTGATACCTTCTAAACTAAAGTGTAATAATTAGTATTTTGGTATCAATATGGCAACTACCCTAAACAATATGAATTGAATGTTGATGCAAAAGCTATTGGAATCGGATAATCTATGTGAAATCATAAGTATAATTCTTTTGATGATAGACGAACTGGACTCAGTCAATTTCTTTCTCTCTACGTATTTTTATTTATTGTAACAGAATAAGTGAATTAATTTAAAAAACTGAGAACCGATTTTATGATGGAAATGTCCAGCTCCGTTCTACTTATCTGACGTTTTCGGAGTTGATCCTCGGTGAGATCATGGGAGAGAAATGTTCATGGATCTCGTGCTAGGACGGAATGGATGGTCATTATTTCTTGATTTTCAATTATTATTTAGGGAAATCAGTTGAGAATATGAACTACGATTGTCGAAATGGGAAACCGATTCCTTGATGAAATCACGTTTTTCAATGTTAGTTGGATATGTATTTGAAATAGACACACCAATTATATCAATTTGTGCAATAGTATTTCAATATTGATGATACAACAATGAATCGGTTGGTGGTTTTATATGTTCAAATATCTGTTTTTCTATAGATCGATCGTGTACAGACGAAATTAGGTCACTACAGATCATCGTCGAACAATTATCTGAATTGAACTCGTCACTATACATCAACGTTCTTGAGAATGAGAAAGCGTTTGACAGTATGGACAGGAAAACATTATGGAAACCTTCCTTGACACTATGGATTTTCTGAAAAGATTATCAACATCATCTGGAATTCATGGGTCGGTTAACGATGTGGGTAACTGGAGTAAGTAAGTAGATAAGTAAGTCACTTAACCTTTTAATATGCTTAACCTCTACGAATAAAACAATGAGAATATACGACATAAGTAAAGGGGGGGAATGCAGTAATAATAATAATATTAATAGTAATAATAATGTGATAATCAAAATAATTAAGGCCAAGGTAACGATAACGATAAGACGTACTTCTTTTGTACGCATAGTTCTGGTTTAAGCTCCTGGATGGTAAGAGCTTCTTCTATTTTTAAGAGTTGGATGCGAAGAAATCTGGGTAGGTTTGAACGAATCATATAAACAACCTTAAAATCAATTTGTGGATCTGTAGATTGGTTATAGTCGATTAGGTGTTCAAGTATAGAACTCCTAACTGCTTTCCTTTCATCCTTATAGAACCAAGCTGGAATATGTTCCTGTATCCGAGTTGAATGCGAGAGCTGGCTACGGCCAATGTACCTTGCCCCACAAGAGCAGGTGAACTGATAGATGCACATAGGCGACAAGACGCGGAAGATTATCTTTTATGGATACAGAAAATAAGTTTCTACTTGTGAAGGATATTCGCAGTTTTGCCGAGTTAAATGTTCTTCTAATAGTTGTTGTTATACGATTTTTGATTGCGTCTGATGTTCGATCACCTTTAAATTCCAGACTTATATAAATGTTTTTCTTTGGGACGGAACAACTAGATTTCTTGTCGTAACTACTTCCATTCATATTCTTTTCTATGAACCGTTCTGGGTAACCATTTTCCGTCAAGGTTTTCTTGAGGAATGTGAGTTCTTTGTTAATGCATTGCGTACTGCATATCTGATGTATTCGATAACATAAAGAATGGATAAGGTTTCTCTTCCTACTTAACGGAACCAAGCTATAGAAGTTAGTTAGCTGGCCATTCCATGTTTGTTTCCTAAAGATGGATCTTTTCAAAGAACCATTACTCTTTCTCATCAGACGTACATCGAGAAAAGGAATTGATTGGTCTCATTCCCTTTCTAACGTGAAGTCTATGGAAGAGTGGCATGAGTTAAATGTATGTAGAATATCATCTAAATCAATATGATTGTCACAAACGACAAATATGTCGTCCATGTATCTCACGTATAAGTGGAATCGATTGATCATTGAACGGAGTTGGTCGTTTCTTACTTTTGCCATGAAACAGTCTGCTAAAATTAGACCCAATGAAGACCCCATTGCGATTTATATTTTATATTCCATATTCACTTATATCTGTACTATTCCCGACCGAAGCTGCTACATTGACGCGGTGGTCGGACCTGCCTATCGTGATGACCCAAACGAGCTATATTGGCTGGAACATATGTTCCTGTAGGTTCTACCATGCCAGGCAGGTCGATTGGTGAACGGTAAGACTAAAAGCAACAAACCCAAGGTCTGAAGGCGAAGTCGTACTACTGACTGTATAGAGGTGTGACAGCAGTTAGGTGTTTCCTTCAGACAACCAGCATGACAGCGATGCTGCCTTCCCACAAGGAGGGGTGGGGTTAGAAAAGGTCGACCCTAAAAATGTCACACCTCACCTTACCTCACGGATTTCCGTCTCCGGAGGTAAGGCCCTTTGAAGAACGGAGCTAACACGTCAAAAACCTTCCACAAAAAGGCCGTGCGCGACCGGCCTCAAGCAGTTGTCCCTTGGGCTCTGCGGTCACGCTCCCGGGTCGTCAAGACCAACACTAATCCAATTTACTTTTCAGGTTCCTCAAGAAATACCCTTCCACGGTGTGGGCAGCCGGGAAGTGAAATCAGCCCTCATACCCATAACAGCACACTGACTGTACTATTAATAATATTGAATAAGAAACAAAAAACAAACAAACAAATGATATGATGTAATAACAATATGATGTAATGTTATGTAATGATATTCATTTGAAATATGAAAAAAAAGGGACACATCCCCCCCTTAATGTTAAATGATCTGTCATTGGATATTAAAAGTAAATAAATAAATTGTTTTATTTTAAATAATTTAATCAATAATGATCAATTTTATTGGAATGATATTGATTGAATTGGGTTTTTTTGAGAAAAAAAGTTTTTTTTCTTTTCTTTTTTTTTCTTCTTCAATCAAAAATATGAAAACACTGTGAATTTCTTTTAACAACATTCAAGAATATGTGGATCTTTTCCATGAGATGATCTACGTATCATCCAAATTGAAATTATTATATAAATAATTTTAATCATTGTAAATATAAAACATAAAGCCAATATTCCATCGATATATTTATAAGTGTAATTATTTAATACTTCAGCACAACCCTGTAAATTAGATAAAAGATGAAGAAAAAGAGAAGAAAAAAAGGTTTGATGAGGTTACAAAGTGTTTTTCATATAGAGATAAAGTTTCAATGGATTCTCTATTGGATCCTATCTTGACTGGTTGTTTTATGACCAATTTAGAAAATTCGGTACTTTGACCAGTAATTAAGAGATTTCATTTACGAGTTGAAATCTTGAGTCGATTGAAGCTAGACAACCATGGAAAGTCTGAAAGTACTGGACGGCCGTTTCGTCCTAGGATGGGACTCCTCAGCAGTGCGCATACATGATCCCGTCGCCTCACGCGAGATTTGAAACGAAGACCTATTAGTCTCACGCGCGAGCGCGATGCCGGCCGGCATCCTACGTTGTTAATGTCTAACTTCAACCAATCCACGAAATCGCATTTAAATAAAAGATATATGAATGGTACTTTTATTGTTTGTGAATTGTGATTAGTTTCAATAATTGTCACAACTCAATTCATTATTATTTTCTTTATTATTCTTGTCTCCTCTTACTCTACATTTCTAGACTAGTTGACTTAACAAGTATATTATGTGTGATTAGATTATTCGAAATGTATAGCGCTCATATATATCAATATAGTTCTGATAATCTTCATCTACTTATTATCCTATAGAAACTGAATCACCTTAAACAACAAACTGATAATCTGAAATATCCACATATTGTGATTTAGAATAACATTGATATAAGCGATTAATATTGTTTTTGATTAAATCCTCATCAAGCATTTCTTTAATATACATTAATATTTATATGTATATACGAAATTATTAAACCAATCAAGGTAGCTTATGAGTCAATGATAACAATGGAAACAGTTACATAATATATTAGAGTAAAGCCTGATGAAGACCTAATTGAAAACAATATTGTTCTAAATTTATAATATGGTAATAAGAAGTGTTCAGATAATTGAACCGTGAAACGTATATTTGAGAGAAAATAAAATAGTAGAAGGGGGTGGAGAAAAATAAGGGAAGAAAGAGTATGGAAAACAATAATAAATAAAATCATTTATTAAGGCCAAGGGAGAGATAAGGGTGTTACAAATTTCTTATGAATACAAAGACTTGAATCGCTAGCTCGAATTCTTACAGCTTCTGCTATGTGTAAGAGACGAGATCAAACACCATAAGAAAAACTAGTAGTAATACGATGAATAACTTTAAATGACTTATTTCTGTCTACTATATGAACGTTATCGATCAAGTGTGATAGAACCGAGCTGCGTATTGACTTGATAGTACCTTTTCCTAATCACGAAGGGAGGTGTTCGCTAAATCTTTGGTTCAGTTGTCTGGCATTGGGTCCAGTATAGCTTCATAGGGGCAGCTGAATTCGTAAATACACATAGGTAACTTATCCTTTATTTGGGGAATCACCATAGATCGCGTCGAGTACGATAGACAGAGGTTGGTTGCATTAAATGTTCTCATAAACTGCCTTGATTGGTATAGTAATTTCGTATATGCACATAAACATTAATGTATATTAGAGTAAAGTCCGATGAGGATCTAATCGAAAACAATATTGTTGACTTATATTTCTTGTTCTAAAGTGGTAATTATTAATAAAAATAACTTCAGTGTGTATTATATCTTGCAATAATGAATCTGGCATTTAGTAAAACGAAACAGTTAACCAAATACAAACTTTTCTAGGCTGAATGATCACTGAATAGAATATTATGATAAACTCTCTCGGTATTGTTTGCATGTATGTATGTATGTAATTAATCAGTCTCTTATTGGCATAACTGCATTGTGTGCGTATTGCCTCGATATTGTCTTAATTCACAAGCATTATAAGCAAATATGGATAGTAGCTAGCAGTGGGATCTACAACGCGCATTCCTTTCTATTTGTGAGTCAACAGCTGGATGTACCTACATCTCACAGTTGATGTTCATTCTGGGACTCGAACCCAGTGTCGTTTGCTTCAAACGCCATCGCTTTATCCACTTAGCTACTGAGTCCTTATACGCACTTGCTTGTGAAATGTGGTGAAGTTTAAATTCACTTAGTATTGTCTACTTGAATCTTCTCATTGATATTCAGGACTGAAATTGATCAATCTCTTATTGACATATGTGCATACTGTGCCGATTGTCTCAATATTGCCTTAATTTTATTCCCAGAGTGTGCATTAACTCTGAGATGCGGGTAAATCCAGGTGACGAGCCTTATGTAGGACGAAACGCGCGTCGTGGATTCCATTGCTAGCCACTAACCATATTTATCTAGAATGTTATTTTATCTTTGTTAAGTCTTCTGCCTTGATCAGATTCTATTGATCGAAATTGCATTGTGTCTACTGGTCTATGTAACATAAACTCATGTAGTTTGTATTTGGATGATGAGTGTTTTCAGGTAATTAGTACATAAACCCTTACAAATTAACATGAGATATTAAGCAAGTGATATTTTTATGGCTTGTCTGCAAAGAATAGAATCTACATGATTCTTATATAATTCATTTACACGAATATGTTACTCACTTATTTAGCTGCTTTTTTTCACAAACTAGACTTATTGAAAGAAGAAAGCTTCTTGTTCAATCATCTCATTTGGAACTTCTCTGTTTACTTAAGTCAAGAAGGATATAATAATGAAAACTGTTTTTTTTTCAAAACAATATTTATATACACATGTATACGTTATATGTCTATTTGATTACTTATTCATTGTACATAGTTTACTGACTTCAGGTTTACTTGAACAATGCATGTTTATGGACTAACTAACTATGTCAGTATCGGGTTTTGAAGATTGTTGAGTTTGGATAAATATCTGGAATCGATCAATGTTAGACCGTTATTGAAAACGTGGAACCACTAGATAGTTGATTCGCCCCAGTATGGGACTCCTCATCAATGCTCATCCACGACTCCTCATACGGGATACTAGAACCAAACAGCCGTCCATTGCTTCCACGTTTTCAATGATGATCTAACATTGATCCATTCATGATATCAATCTAAACTAGTTATGTTTGCTATTCAATTGCTATGAAGCCAATGCAATCTAGTCTCAGTGCTATATATGGACATTTCTAAAGCCTTCGACATGGTTAGCCGCCAATTTCTCATGGGCGAACTCGCATCTTATGGGGTTCAAAATCCTGTACCATCTTGGTTTGATTCCTTTCTCAGCAATCGACATCAACTGGTTAAAATTAACTCTTCATTGTCTAACGCTATCCCTATTAGAAATGGTGTAATACAAGATAGTGTCTTAGGCACTTTGCTATTTTTAGTGTTTATCAATTATATTTGTGAATGCTTTGGTGTGAGTAAGCCTCTTCTATATGCAGATGATCTTAAAGTAGTATATTCACTTTCTCCACATGAGCTGAACAATGTGCAAACTTGCATCATCATGGAGCTTAACAAGGTAGCACAGAGGTGCTTTAAAATGGCAACTGCAGCATAATGCGGCTAAATGTGGATGGATATGCTTTGGCGATATATCGATCAACCTAAACATTACCATAAATGGAGAGGTGTTATCTAGGTTACATACAGTAGTAGACATAGGACTTAGATACTCCCAAGATTTGTCGTTTACAGAACAGATATTGAAACAGACCTCCAAGTCTCAACGTCTAGTAGGTTACACAACTCGAAGCCTTCATAACAATGAGTCACGTATTTTAATGTACAAAGTTTGTGTTCGACCACTTGTAGAATATTGCACGTTTATTCTTAGCGCATGAAGGATAATTTAAGGCTGGAATCAGTACAGAGACGATTTACACTTCATATTCTTGGAGCTGATTGTACCTTCACTTATAGTTCTAGATGTAATAAACTTGGGCTAGAGCCGTTATTGAAGAGGAGACTCAAACTAAATTTTATTATCTTTTTTTCAAACTACTTAATAATCTAGTGTTTACATTCAATCACGCGATTCAATATGCAGAAACTTCTCATTATTGCATCCGTTATCCCTTGTCACTAGTGAAACAAACTTATTGTAAATCATCTCTTTATATGAATTACTTTACCTGTAAATTTTCTAAACTCTGGAATAATCTACCACAATCTATCCGTACGACAAAATCACTCTCATTATTTGTTCGCTGCATCGATGCATATTGCTCCTCTGAAAATGCGTTGAACTTTCTAGCACCTGTGAGTGTATCTCATTCCACAAGTAATATTATAGGAACTTTAAATATTTAGCCATTTTTATTAGTGCATTCCCTAAGTAAAACCACCTACTTCTTGGCACTTTATGTTAACACCGTCCCTAGCAAGTTTAACTAATTTGAATAACATCCAACATCGAGAGTATATCACTGTGTCACATGACACACGCATTTTGGTAGATCTGGTTAACATGTTTTGGTAATTACTGCTTTGTTGTTCCGTGCTCTCTGTTTTCATTTTAATTTCTCGAGTTTTAGATAATTATCATTAATTCGATCTGGCACACGAAATGACCTTAATTACACCGTTCATAAATCAACAGGCAGTCCATTTAACAGAAATTAAAGGTTCCCGGCTGATGTATTCCATTGCTGTAAAACACATGTACTACCTAAACAATTACTGAACTAGTATACCTAAAACTTTCTTCTATCACATTTTTGTTCTGTACATCTAATGTTACTATTTATATCAAATTGATCATGCTTGTAAACTGGCGTGAATTCCGTAATTATTATTCTTAGAGTATATTATTGTTATAATCTTAATACATCTATGATTAATTTATCATCACGGTATCTAATTAGTGAACGGTACTGAGTTCGAGCGTGAGGGTGAATATCAACTCTGAGAAGTAGGTACATCCAGCTGACGAGTCCTAACTAGGACGAAACACACGTCAAACCGGATTCCATTGCTAACCACTATCTATCTTTGCATATCTAATGATACTATTTAAATCAAATTCATCATGCTTATAGACTGGTGTGAATTATCTAATCATAATTTTCAGAATATATTGTTATTATAAGCAATGATGGATGGTGGCTTGTAGTGGAATCCAGTTTGACGCGCGTTCCTTCCTATTTGGGACACTTCAGGTGAATGTACCTGTATCTCACAGTTGATGTTCACTCTGGGACTCGAACCCAGTATTGTTTGTTTCAAATGCCATCACGTTATCCCCTTAGCTACTGAGTCCTGATAGCCACTTGTTTGTTCAATGTAATGAAGTTTAAATTCACTTGGTATTATAATCTTAATACATGTATGAAATGTATTCAAATTGTTTACTTTATTATGATTATAAAGATTAAGATTATACTTAAATGAAACAAATTTATACAATTTAATGAATTGACTTACCACAATATAAATAGAATCATTATTATTTTTACAACTTGCTGGTAAAGTATCATTAGTTCTTCGATAATCTGTAAACATTGAACTTCCACAACATTTATACTATCAGTGAATATAACAACAATGTACATAATCAACTTACATTAGTTTGTAATCGTTCAAATTGTTCAAAATATAATGGATGTATATCATAATAATTCAGTGAATTCTTTAATGTATAATTAACATTTGTAATAAACTAAATTATAATAAATAAGATTAAAATGAATAAATCATACTTCATTTGGTGTCATTATTGTACCTAATGATATACATAATTCAGTAATTGTTGCTATAGTTATACAAGTGATATGCTAAATAAAATAATATAATAATTAATATTTAATTAATTACCAATATAATAACAATTTGATTTGGTTTCATTATTTTACAATAACCAGTAATTGAACCAATTATACCAATAAATCCTGTAAATATAATTGTTGGTAATATAGGTGGATTAATTCCTTGTAATATTGTTTTGAAATGTCCTAAATCATCTTGTGCTTTAATACCTAATGCAAATAAAATAATACTATATATCTAAATATAATAAAATAAGATTAAATAAATAGATTGAATTAGTTACCAAGAAAACACCATTTATAATAAGAAATAATCGATTCCATCCTTGTTCACTTAGTGATAATTTCATATTGTATAATTTTAATAAATATTTAAATGAATTAACTTTAATTTTGTTGATACAATGAATTAATTTTAATCAAATTTAATAATGAATCAAGTTTTAATTTTTAAAAACAGTTTGTTTTTTTTAAAAAATTTTTTTAGTTGATATACATGTATCTATGATTGTGTGTATGTGTTGCCTTAGTAACTAATGCAAATCTTGTCAAATCAAATAATCACTGATATAATATTCTCCTGACATATAAAAAAACATGAATATACCTTTTCATATGTTAGTATTATAGTATCTATCCATCTATCTATCTGTCTATCAATTAGAAACCCCTTCTGAAATTAGAAATATGTAATAAAAAAAATGTTGTTTTTTTTCATTTCTAATATGTATGTATTTCTATTTGTATGTGTCTAACAGTCTGATAAGGTGTTATGACGTATACCTATAAGATAACAATTTATAATAGTAGTTGAAGATAAGTTTACTGTATGAAGATAAAATTTTGAAAATTACCACAATCAGAAGGGGTTTGTGGAGATTTTAAAAAATTCACAGATTGAAATCATGAGTCAATTGAAGTTAGACCACCATGGAGAACCTGGAAGTACTGGACGGTCGTTTTGTTCTAGTATGGGACTCTTCAGCAGTGCGCATCCACAATCCCGCACTCCGCGAGATTCGAACGCAGGACCTATCAGTTTCGTGCGTGAGCGCTTAACCAACTAGACCACTGAGCCGGCATCCATTGGTGTTAATGTCTAATTCCAACCAATCCACGAAATTGCGCCACCGTATACCATTGTCTTCAGTGAGCTGATATCTCACAACAGACCTGGTTGAACTCCACTGGTAACGACATCTTACTAGAACTCCAGGAGTATCTGCTGAGGAGTCCCATACTAGGACGAAACGGCTGTCCAGTGCTTCCAGGCTCTCCATGGTGGTCTAGCTTCAATTGACTCATGATTTCAATCTGTGAAATTACCACAATCGTTATTAAAATAGTACTGTATATGTAAGATAATCACGATTGATTGATCACTGGGTGGTGGTGATCAATGTCTTGTTTGTCTAGTCCTTATTAGTGCAGATCGAATTCTATCGATCATGTTGCAATGTGGCCACCAGTCTAGGTGACTCGACACTGCGGGCACTATGTATTGAGATTTAGATGGTGGTTGGAGGTAGTCAACAGGGTTTCCTGTTGACTACCTCCAACTACCATCTAAATGTAAGATAATCATTGTTGGTGGACCGGATACTATAAGCAACAACTTACTGAGAAAGAGAACAAACCAACTTTCATCTGAAAAAGAAGTTAGGAAAGAATATTGAATGTGGTGGGTGGGACATACATTACGGAAGTCATCAAACTGGATCCTAAGGTAAGTATTAATGTAGAATTCTGGAAGGAAACGGAAAAATGGAGGATCAAAGTATCTACTGCGTCAGAAATCGAAAGTAGTCATCAAAAGGATGAATAGCAACTAAAAAACAGCTGATCAGAATTGAACAGGACAGAGTTGGATGTAGAAAGCTGGTGGTCAGTCTATACCCCCTCTACTAGGGGTAACAGGCGTAAGTAAGTAACTAAGGTTTGTATATCTGAATTCAGTAGTTGAATGGAAAACCCGTTCAGTGTCTGTGGTGAGTTGGATTGAGTGCGAGCCCTAGGTAAAACGTCAACACAGGGATTCAGGTACATCCAACTGACAAGCTGAAAATAGAATAAAACACATGTTCCGAATTCTACTGCTGACTACGAACACTTCTATGAAAATTATTGGTTTTCTTACCTTTATTTTTTTTAGTTAACAATAACGTTATCATTTCATTATCCATAACTAGTATGCACCACACCTCAACCTATAAGTTTGACTGGTGTATATATGTGAAAGAAATATAGAATTCAGAATACAAGATTATGGTCTATTTTTCCAGAAATCCCATTTGTCAAGTTTTATCGTCTAACATGTAACATGGTTTATTTATATACAGCACAAAATCAAATCATTGAAAGGAGTCATTTAGGTATTGTAAACTATTGTGCTACATAATAGTCCTGAGAACAGATTAAAATCAATCAGCTTCATAATTTAGAATATAAACTGTTGACAGTTTCACAGATTGAAATCATGCGCACTGCTGAGGAGTCCCATACTAGGACGAAAAGGCTGTTCAGTGCTTCCAGGTTTTTCATGGTTGTCTAGCTTAAATTGATTCACGATTTCAACCAGTGAAATTTCTAAAATCTCCACAAACTCCTTCTGTTGATAATTTTTTTTGATAGAACAATAAAAAATAAGGTTGAGCTGTATAATGTGATAAATTTGCACTACATATCTTTCGAATTATCTTATCATACATATTCTACTCAAGATACTCATAAAAACCAACGAAAGTCAATTGAGTAAAAGGTTAAATAAACATGACATGATAATTGTAAATATTATGAAGAAAAAGTACTGATACTTTAAGAGAAGAATAGGAAATTGTCATACCAACGGTCCTCAGGACATACCCAAAGATACGACAAACCTTTACTGTTTTTGATGGAGTTTTGTTCTCTGAGTTGGGTGATTTGATCGTGGAGCTTTCATTGTTCTTCTGAATGACATCATCAGCACAAACGTCATAGAGGACTAAAAGATGAAGCTAAGAAGGATGCTCAATTCAGAACAATTGGAAATCCTGACGACAGCTATCGAGATATCATAAAAACGACACAGAGAACAAAGAAGAGACACCCTAAAGAAGAAACTTATCAACTTCTCAAAGCCATCCGTGGAAGCGAACACAAACAACTGCGTGGTAAACTTGTCAAAGTAACGACCAACAAACATTAAACCTTTACTGTGCACGTAAACAGGCTTTGAATAGGCAAAAGCCAAGGTTTCTATAAACGTAAAGATTAGCCTTTGGTGATTCGTATATAGCATTTTAAGAGCTGCGTCGATGTTAATTCTAATGATAAACCATGACCAGTCGAGCATAATCCATACCGGGTGTGTGACAGATATCCGCCCTGGGCAATGAAAGAAGGGTTGCGCAAGATCATGGATTGATTAAAGTTAGACAGTAACATCGTTTGATGCCGGCTCAACGATCTAAAGGTTAAATGATCACACGCAAGCGGGAAGGTCCTGGGTTTAAGTTTCGTGTGAGAGGTTGTGGATGAGTACTTCAGAGTCCGAAATCAGAACAAACAGGCCATATAATTATTTCAGCTTTTCATTGATGGTCTGAATTGAACCAACTCTTAATTTTAACTGCGACAATGTTACAATCTCTGAAAATCCTCATACTGATAACATTAATAATTTTTCAACAGATAAAGTCAGACAGTAATTTCTGATAATTAGTGATAATAATAATCGTGGCAGTACTTCTGTTTAATATACTTTTTAGTCATTATCGCCAGCTACGATGCAAGAAAATATAGGACACTGGTCTTTACATGATTAAACTCCACCAAAATTTATGAATGAACTCCATAAGCTTAAAGCGTGATACAAACAAACACCTCCTTCAATAATAAGTATACGAAGGATGGTGATTGGAAGAAAAGACAACAATCAAATTGTATAGGAAAATATAGTATGCATCTTAGATGGATACATTTCTGAGGCAAAATGTTGTTATCCAATGAATAAACCTTGTTTTTATTTGCATTACTTATCTATGAAGTAGTGTTCCAGTGAATAATAACAATTAGTTCAAAAATCATTCATTACAAAGACCTTTTATGCTAAATATTCCATTAGTTTTGAGGTGGTAACAAAGATTTGTAGCTCATATTGATGACTTCTAAATTTTTCATTGCTTTCTCAAAAAAGAAACGTTAGCACATTACCTAATAAAATGTGATTACAAAAGTTTTTATAGACTGTTCCTTTGACATTGAAACTCCGCCTGGAGCCTCTGTGGGGCTACTGCCGGTCCCAAGCCCGGATAAGGGAGGAGGGTTGTTCATGGGGTTAGCGATCACATCCCGCAGAAAACTAACTCGCTAAAAACACGCTAACCACATGAAATAGTTCAAACCATCTAGACTCTGCCCTGGGAATTAGAAGGTCTTCATTTAGAAGAGTTATGACGCCTCATGGTGAAGCCGAGTTCCTTCGGAAGTCACGAAGCTGATGCCTCTTCTGACAACCAGAGCAACCATTTATGAAAGAACTGCTTTACACTAACTTTCGTTCATATGCAGAAAATTTATGGTTTTTATATCATTTTAGATGGCCTTGGGCTTCTGGAAAATTTTAGTACGCTACTAAATACAACAACAGTATAGGCAATTATCCAATCAGAAACGCAACATGTGACTTTTCAGTTTCTAGATGTTTCTGGGAAAACTCCTATTGAATGTTAATTGAACAACATGGTTCTCAGTGTTTTCACAGGCTTTTTTGTCCTTCTTTTGAGGAATTTCCTGGATCTCCCCAACACTTGAATAACTCACATTTTTACAAATTATGAAGAAAAGATTTATGGGCATCGTTACTAATGAACATTTATTGTAAAAGTGTCTAATGAAAATGTTCTCAGTAACATTTGAATGATTTTATTGATTAATTAGTAAAATTCATGACTAGTAGCGCAATTTCGTGGATTGGTTGAAGTTAGACATTAGCACTGTCCGATGTTGGCTCAGTGGTCTAGACGTTAGGCGTTCACACGCGAGGCCGATAGGTCCTGGGTTCGAATCTCCATGAGGGCGGGACCGTGGGTAAGAACTGCTGAGGAGTCCCATACTAAGATGAAACGGCTGTCCAGGCTTCCAGGTTTTTCATGGTGGTCTAGCTTCAATTGACTCATGATCGAAACTATTGAAACCTGTATTTCATTTTTTAAACCAAACATCCATTTACAGCATAGTTGCATACTCGCATATTATTGAGCACAATGAACAAGTAATGAATATAAAAACAAAACTGTATATGCACTGTTTATACACTGATTTATTGATATCACTGAATCCAGTTTTAATTATTCGGATTCAGATTTGTGTAGTACAAACAGAAGGCCTACGGCCTATGTTATTCCTTTTCTAGTATACCTCTATGAATATCCGGTCTTCTCTTGAATGAATCAACTGAAGGTAGCGACACCACTGTTTCGGGTGACATGTTCTAATAATTGATGACTCAGTGTAAAAACCTGTATGCCACGGGTATTTTGTTCGTTTTTGACTTTTCTACTCGCCTACTATGTCCTCTGAGATGTATCAATCTAGTGAAGAGAAAAAGAGAGGATACATTAGGTCCAAAATCATTTCTTAGTATTCTATACATTAAAATCAACTCACCTCTTAATCTG